GAGCAGCAAGTCTAGGTTGGGAGAATTTTGACAAGAAAGGCATTGTGAGGAGTGCAACTTTCAAGACATTTTCGATGTCTTGAAACTTGGCTTTTCTGTCCCAAACTCTCCAAAATTCTCTCCTTTAACAGCCCTGCTACAATCTTTGTGAATATCCCATTAAATTATTAAACCAATATTTTCCTCAAAAACCTTTTCGGCACTTTCTGCATTGCGTCTTCCTGGATGCACACTGCCATCAACGTCAGACAATCCAGCTTCTTCATAATACAACTTGTATACAAATGCTATTTATTGCCAATGGCGACCTTACATTGCCAAAGGTTTTAGATCACTTGGCTATATTCAAATATGAATTTGAGTGACTTATTATTTTTAATATTTCAGCTTTAATGTTGTTGGCACACCCTTTGTAGCTGTAACACCTCCAACTCTTTTGTGAAGGTTATCCACAAGGGTAAAGAGTATGCTTATTAGACTTTTTTGGACAAGAAATGTCATTCTGAAGTCACCCACTTGTGTTGTATAGGAATGGCTGGCTTGCAATTTCTGCTCTGATCCATCCCAAATAAGTTCAAACAGGTGATGGTTGAACTATGTGAAGAGCAGTTCTTCCACACCAAGCTCATTTATTCATTTATTTCTGCTTCCTTTAGCTGAAACTAAGGGGTACGGTCCATCCCCTGAAAACCCACGCAATGTTTCCGCCTGTACTAAACTGTCACACGTTAAAGTCAATGTGAAGTCCAAAGGCGACGTGCTTTTACACCATCTGGTGCTTAGCATTGCACTTAGTGATTTAAGAGTTGGACATATTATTGTTCTATCACTAATCTGAAGGCCACACAAAGATTACAGGGACGTAGTTATAAACTCTGCAGAAAGTTGACAAACTCTGCACACTACGCACCTCGGGATCTTTGATTTCATATTGCCTGTCGCTGACTCAACCTATCATGCAAACAGATAAGTTCACGTCAAAATGCTTACATAAGTTTTCTTACAAAAATAAAGTAGGTATAACTGTTGTGTTGACGTTTATGCATAAGGGGTGCAAATTGTTGACAGTAACTTTGCTTCTTAAGCACTTTATGAGGCCACACTACAATGTTTTAAATATGGAACAGCATCTCCGGGCGCTGTGCGTTGTCACAAAAGTAAATCCGCCCAAACCCTTTTGTTATGCTATTAATTTCTAATAAAGGCAGCAAGTCAATCGAAACTTACCTGTTTGTGGGTGTCTTGAATTCTTTATCATCAGTGATTGTTGATTCTATTATTCTGCTTGAGTTTCCATTCTGACTGCATGACTTGTGAGGTTGTTCACGCAGCAGTCTGGTTTGTGATTTGGTTAAGCGGAGCTGTGGAAAGTGACCTCCGCAGTATTTTTTTTTTTTTTTTAACACAAACCCCCCTGCGGCTCGAAGCCCTCTGTTCCAGCTGGAACTCAGCACTATGCGACAGATGCCACATTAAAGAGAAAAAAAAAAAAAAAACCCTTCCTCTGCCATCATTGTGCTTCCAAAATCCCCTCACTGTCACTTCGCTTCAGTCTCTCAGCAGAACATGCACTGGATTGTATGTGTAGCCATTAGTACCCATTAGCCACTCAGGTCAGGGTCTCAAAGACCTGGGTTGTTTGAGTCATGCTAGATATGTATTTGTGTTTAAACAAATTCTCCCCCAAAGTGTCTCTCTGAAGTGCTGATGTTTTCCCTCATCTCATCTGGGCTGAAATGAACCATGCCTCTCATGGATGTAATGGGGGTATAATTTTGTTTCAGTGCTGTTATGTTTCATCTGAGATCTGCTTCACATTATACAATTAGATTGTATTACAAAACAATAACACTATGCTTTGGTAACATTATAGAAAGCTTTAGAAAGCATGTTTTTTTTTGTTTTGTTTTTTGTTTTGTTCCCTCCCCAGCTAACCCAAACTACTTTCCAGTGAAATATCCTCAAAAAAAAAATACCTTTTCGTCTTAAAATGATAAAATACCATGTGTTTATCTACCAGATTTTCTCCAGCTCGAGTGTAGCCATGACACTTGACCAAATATTTTGAAAACATCCAATCTTAAACCTTTTGTAGGTGGTTGAAGCTGCAGAATGTCCTGTAGTCAAGCTTTATGGGTATGGAAAGCTTTTGAAAACTGAAAGCAGTCTTTTCTCCAAGGATATTTATACTTTTAAGTCATACTGGCCGACAGCAGCAAAAGACCAGGGAACAAAATCTAGCTGGGGAAACGGATAGAATTTTCTGCATTTAGCAAGAAAGTGACACATCAAAACAAGAGTAAAAACTCGTTTCACGAATATTGAGCACATTCAAAAATATTTTCTTTGTTGGAAACATTTTTTATTACATCCTTTTTAAGCTAACGCATCTAGCGATTAACCTCTTTCACATTTCTGACGATTTATTTTTGCTAAACTTTTCAGTTATTTCAAAAGGTTTCAAATGCCATTCACTCTATCAAGCCTCACATCCTGCACCATCCTAGATACTGATTTGTGACCTTTCTTTTTGTCTTACAAGTTTTCAGTAGCTACAGAATGTACTTTTGTTGTGCAGTCTATAATGTCAAAAAGAAATAAAATCTGACCGACCACACATTTCCAACCATTCTAGATGGTGATAGGGGGACAGAAAGGGCTTTTCCCCAAAGAGTTGTTTTGCTTTATTCCTACAAATCTGCAAAGTAAGACTAAACAACTCACAGCCATCAAGGATTGAGGTATAAATTCCTCTCCAGCAGTTCCCTGACTGTATATTGTGATGATTGTAATCTAGTCTACAGGTTTCTTTATTTTAACAATTGCTCTCCTAGCACGTTCCCCCAAATTGCCTCGTCATTTCTTGGAGTGTTTCCAGACCGACAATACTTTCCCAGAGAACCTACCTTCGATGAGAGTTGCACAAGTCTCCACCAAAAAGCCTATCCAAAAGACAAAAACCCAATATCTATAATATAATATAATATCACTAAGCCTCTTATAAAACAAATCAAACATCACCTTCTCAGTCTCATTAGCCACCAGCGTCAGTCACTGCAAAAGCTCCTGAATTTAACAACTCACAATTAAGTCTTAATTTAGCTCCACTAATCAATTCAGTCCCTGCTCTGTCTCCAGGAAATCATTGGCTGCTCTGTTAATCACTGGAATCCAAAATCAGTTAACTACATTGTAACTTTTCCCTGTTATGAGCTGATTTATGAGTTTAGCGCTCAGCAACCAAACTGAAATGGTCACAATTGCAGTTACTGTTTAATGACTGCTCTGACTGTAGAAAGTGCAGGCAAGTAGCTGCTTTTGCAGCAGATTTGTTGTGACTCGCCTGACACAACAAATCTGCCTCACTTGAATTACATTTTCTTCTATTATGTTCCATCTTGACCAATCCGTCAGGAGAACATGTCCTCAGTGTGACTACAGAGGACAGGGAGTCATGGATTGTTATATTAAAAGTTCCTAAAACTACATTTTACACTTACATTCCCCCCCCCCCAATAGTTTTGGCCAAATTAAAATGTCTAAAATTAAGGTTATTTTTACCTTATTTGTTTTGTGTGAAGTTCAGTTAAAGTTGATTTTATAGGCCTTTTCCACATCTTCACCAGGCGCGCCCAAAAACCTGCAGGATGCTGCAGGTGACCAGGAATAACCTCCTAAAAGTCCAAGTAAAAGTAAGCAACAGCAAAAGTCAACTTTAAGCACTCCTACTGTTTCTGATTCTGCGTGTCATAGGCAGTGTTTTCAGTAAGAGTTATTTGTCAGTAACAGTCAGTCATATCCTATTACTAGCCAACAAACCAGACTAATGCCCAGAGAAGCCATGCAGCCTGATTACGCATGCCCCTGCAGTTCAAAACAGATGCTCTTCACTAGCTCTGGCAGCATGGAAGAGCCTTAGGCAGGCAGCTATTTTGGGTAAATTAGTAAAGACAACAGTTGCTCCCCAGGTTGATGCTGCCATGCTGAGGTGCAGTGCAAGGCGACAGAGTGGAAAACATAGACTCAGCCTGGGCAGCACAGCCCTGCAGGCGTTTGTCATTTGGAAGCTCTTCAGCTGACAGGTGGCGACTGTGGCCGACTGCTCCCTGTGTACCTTATACAGGTAATTAGCCATTCAGCTCAGACATGGAGGATAAGAGTATACAGTCATTGAAAGATATGTGTATAATCAAGACAAGCATACAGAGGACATGCTTTTTTGTTGTGTACAATAGAATCTTGATCGAAAGTCATTAGGGTGCAATTATTATACAACAAAATTGACAAAGAATGAAAAAATATATATTTTTTTCATTCTTATCTTGTTTAAACTTTCACCTTGACGTTTCTCTCATTATTGTCATGTTAAGCTAGTATAAGAATGTGTTTAACATGCAGAGCACACACGATAAACAGTGTGAGGTAAAGTGTTGCAGTAATATATATATATATATATATATATATATATATATATATATATATATATATATATATATATATATATATGTGTGTGTGTGTGTGTGTGTATATAAAACAGTGCAGATTTATAGGCAGAGCAGACAGACAGCACTGCTTTGACTAGAAATTATTAATTAAGTAAGTATTAATTTTGGTCACTAAAAACTTGAGCTGTGGACGAATTCAGAAGAATTGTGAACATTTCTGGAACTCAAAACATGAATCATGTCTTCTTTTAGTTTTTAGCTTTGAGGCATTGTTTCGCTCCTCTTCTCCTAAATTTGACTACATACAAAAACAGATGAACCACATCAAAAACTTATGAGTAGAATAATTATCTAGGAAGAAGTAAGAGCATATAGAGTACTCTCCTTTAATGAGAAACCATAGGGTTTTTTTTTTTAATTATTATTATTTAATCACCACAAGCGTGACAAACTGTCTGAAAGCAAGAGGTTGGGCTATTTGCTAAGCTGGAACATTGAGATATATGTGAACAAAAGTTAAATGATTGATATGGGGTGCACTTTTCTATTGATTACAAAAGGAAAGTATCTCCTCATCAAAATGAATTTGTCTTTAAAGGGGACATTGAGGAAAAATTAACTAAAAAAATAAATCAATAAATCCCAATTAATTCGTTTGAATTGTTGATTTAGCACCAATCCATTATCCTTAGCAAACATGTGGCCAAAGTACAAAAGAGTCACTTTTCACAGAAAGAAACCTCTGTCAGGTTTAGCGTGAACAACCATCTGCCACGGCTGATTCGGGGACGATAAGAGAACAAAGACACAGTAAATGGTTGACCAAGAAAAGTACTCTTTGAAGGATATCGAGTAGAAATTATCTTCTTATCAAAAATGAATTTGTCTTTAACATATGGAGGCAAAAATGTAAGATGTTACAGTTCATCGGTATCTATTGACATGTAAAAAACAGTACATGAACAGACCAGGATTTAAAATTCATAACAATTTTGACTGTATCAAAATGTAAATCTTAGTTAAAAGTTACTAGCAGTGACAGTCTTTACCCCATATGCCCACATGCTCGACCACTGTCCAGATCCCAACCCAAATGCTCTCATGCAAACATCAAATGAGGTTGAATACTGATGCACGTCCCATCAAATGTATTTAAAAAAAAATAAATGTCCTCACCCTTCAAAATTATAAAGTTTCCAAAATATGCAGTCATGTTAATGTAAATTTCAAATTGATTTCTTTCTCAAATGTCTTTGCTTGTAGGACTACAACCATTATACCGTTTGTATTTTGAACTGGAGAACTTATTCTCAGAGGACTAACATTCTTTTCTCAGTCAAAAAAGAAGCATCAGTCCACTCCAATTCATCATACGCTTTATTCCTTATTATCCAATTGTACTCAAGCTTGGTATTAAATATTAATTATATCTAATTGGCTTCTCAACCCCATGTAACCCCTCCAGTGCTACTTGAAACCAATGACCTCTACCGACAAACTTTTAGAACCAGTAGTGCTAATGAGCTTCCACAGGATTATTTTAATAATGACTTTTTAATACCCTTATTTAGCTGTCTCAAATTTGGTGAATGGGCCTTTTTTGATGGAAAGTGGGTAGTCCACTATTTGACTGTATCACAGTGCGAGTTAAAAGTTTTATAAATGGTCCAAGGGATAGTTGAGGTTGAGTCAGTCAGCGTTGATGGGCAGTAAATGAGGAAAACGGACCTATGTAAATGGAAACCTGGCTCATGCTGCTCTGCTGGGAAATCAGGTGGCCATTTGAATATTCAACCCCAGGGCCAGCGCTCTAATTCCTCTCCCCTCAACATGCCACACAAGGAGAAAAGAAGTGACAAAATGGCAAAGAGCGCACAGACATGAATTTGCATTTTAATGCGCCTGTCGGAATCACTTTGGATAAGAGCTGCGGGCATGAGGGACCATATAACCCCAAGCGCCCCCACCAAACAACCTATAATAGCCACCATCCAAAAGAACAACATCCTGGGAAGGAGGAAGTTGTTACTAATAGAAAATAAGAAGCATGGTGGAAGTAGAAACTGGCAGGTTTTAGATCTTAGAATAAGTTTGGACTACTGAAATGTTTAGGTGGCAGGATTTTTAGTCCCCAGAAAAAACAAAAAAACAAAACAAAAAAAAACAATATAAACACGCACTTGATAGAACTTTTCCTGCGATTCCTGTCATTCATTGACATTGATTGCAATGACACTTTAATTACGACGGAGGACAATTGAATTTTTCACGCCTTGCAACAAAAACAAAACAACATCGGGATGTTTATAGAGCTTCAACTATTTAACGTCTTATCATTATTCTTTCCTTTTTTCTTTTATTTATATTTTTATTTGTCTCCCTTTGGATCAATACCCACAGAAACTTATGGTTTCTTTTATCTCTGAAAAAAAACTGCTGAAAAAAAAAACAAAAAAACAGCCAAGGAGTAAATCATCTCACTCTGACGCTCCATATTTGCTATTTAAAGTCTTCAATCACGTTGTCATTTGGTGAAAGGTAGAGGCAGTCAGCTCTGTTTAATCAGTTCGGTTTTATCTCCTGTTCTTACAGAGTGTATCTTTCCAGGTATTGATAGGCATCATGTCCCGACTGACACAAGGACACAAAGTGACTGTCAGGGAGCTGTACTTTTACTCTCCTAGAGCTAGACATCCAGGCAGCCAGGCTGCTGAGACACTGGAGTCGTCCTACAGAGACATCATTGAGCCCGTGTCCCCTCTTTGTCAAAGGTATCTCAAGGTCTTCTCAACAAAGAAGATTAATTAGACTTCGGTCTCCTTGGATTACATGCAACTGTCTCTGATGTTTCAGCCAGTTAAATGTATTTATATAGTGCTAATTCCCACCAAATGACATCTCAAGGCAATTTACAGAACAGTCGGATCCAAATATCTGGAGAGACATAATGGCAATGCTTTGCTTCTAACAAAAAGAAACCTCTTGCAGGACAGGTTTAGCATGAGCCTTTGCAGTTGGATCTCCTTGCTTTTAGAGAAACCATTAGGTCTGTCTGAGATCAATTGTTTTTGGCCTTTTTTTTCCCCACCACAGCATCTTGCATTTGGTATTCCCTGCAAAGTCCGATTGAGAAAGTGGTGTTGGAAGAGTTGTGGAGCTTTTACTCTTTGCCGGTAAAAGTTTTAATTTGGATGAAGAATTAGCCTGTGCCTTCCATGTCTGTGATTAAAACAGCATCTCACAGAAAGACTGACTGAAGGAAATATTTGATTTAGTGTATTTACTTTTTTTTTTTTTTGTCAGAAAACTTGATTGATTCAGGCTGTATCTTGTGTAGCACCCCGAGATTACCTTTATTGAGAATAGGCACTCATAGCATAAATAAACACAACTGAAAACTGCCTTGAATTGAAATGCTAATTCAATCAGGAGAACCACTTCAATAAAACAAAACAGCCTTCCTGTCAAGAAGGACAGATTATTTGCACCGCGGCCCCATCAAGGGAAACACAGGAACCCGGTAGATAGGAACTGTAGTTCGGTCGGCAGTTTATGAATTAACCGGTGAATAGCAATCAGCTGTGAAATTGGTACGAACTAGGTTTGAGGCTCCTGTTCAGATTACTGCGTGGCTCTGCATTGCTCCATGCCCCAACTTTCGAATGAATGCCATGTCTGATGAAGTTAACTCTGGTATACGTCAAATACTTCTAAGTTAATGTGTACATGGAGACGTCTCTACTGAATGCGTCATGGTTTATTGACATTTTATTATTAAGGACAAGAGCAGCCATTGAAAGGTTTTGTCATGCACTCATATATCTATATAATACGTACCTGAACATAGACAACAACATCGGTAGCCTACAGACTACTTGTTAGGCTTAAGGTGATGTATTGACATTAGCTAGTCATCTTTT